AGCTGAAACGCACACTGAGACGTCTTCGAAAACTGGACTTGGCCTGATGTTATTTTGAAAGGTAATTAAGGTTTGTAAGAATGCCTCTGACTGGTTGGTCATCAGAGGTCTGTGTGTAACATGAGTCGAAGCACATGCAGTGTGACCAAAATAATTAAAGAAGAGAAAAACCACCCTAGACCCTAACATGACTGAGCTATCAGCTTTCAAACTGCTGCCTGCAAGAGAAGCAAGCAGAGCCCACACAGCCCAGGCTGTCTGCATTTGATTGGAGACAGCTCCTAGTGAGGCAAACTAGAGCTTGGGAGGGCCGTGGGATTGCACTGAGCAGAGACCTAGGCTTGGTGACAGCTCCTGTGGGCAGCAGGATGGGAGAAGAATGAATCCAGAGGGTGCTGGTTCAAGCCCCAGATGCCGCATGTGCTGCTGCAGGGTTTCACACTCCCTTTCCTGGGTTTTGGTTTCATTTTGGTCTTACCTTCCATGTCCCTCTTTCTCTCGATTGGAAATGCAATATTTAATCTGTGTCATTGTATACCACAAGTTTGTAACTCCTTTATTATTAATGTTCTATCCTTTATTTTACAAGAGCTCACAGAAAAGAAGCAAAGTGTGAGTGGAAACTCTGCACTTTTAAGCCATGTTGGAACTGTGGAGGCTTGGGGACTTTAGGAGACCGATGGTTTACATGTTCTATTGTGAAGTGAACCTGATCCAAAGTGATGTGTTTAGGTCCCAAGCTTAAGAAAGGATGGACTATCCATCAAGATCAACTGGCTGCATTTAGAATCACCTAGGATGCATACCTCAGGGGGGGTATGTGAGGGTTTAACAGAGAGGTTTAATAGGGAGGGAAGAGTCACCTGAATGTGGGTGCCACCATTCCAGGGGCTGGGGTCCTGGCCTAAATCACTGCTCTCTGCTTCCTGACTGAAGATTCAATGTGACAGTGGCCTCATGCTTCTGCTGCTACAGCTGACGGTGCCTCCACTGCCACACCTTCCCCATCATGGCGGACTGGGTGGATCCTCCAACTGTGAAACACAACAGAACTCCGCTTCCTGGAGCTTCTTCACCGAGAGGAGGCTAAAGAGCCGTTTTGAGGGGTAGTCTCTAAAACTACAAAGGATATCAAGTGAATTAGGACTCCTAAAACAACACACACCCCAAAGTCACACAGGTTATTTTGAAGATTCATTTTTAATTATGCGTCTACGTAGAGGTTTATGCTCCTGTATACAGTTGTTGCTGTTGTAGGCCAGAAGGGGGTGTCAGCTCTTCTGGACCTGGAGTTACAGGAGGTTGTGAGCCAACCAGTGTGGGTCCGAAGAATCACACTCAGGTCTCTTTGAGAACAGCAGATGCCCTTAATTGCTGAGCCATCTCCCCAAGTATCACCCAGGTCATTCTGATGTTGTTTTATGCAATCAAAAAAATTGAAGGTGCGTAGTACAATAGCAAAGTCTCCAGAGTTTTCCTTTATTTCTATTCATTTCTAATTCAGAACAGGAAATGAGAAAGCACACTAGGTCAATAATGATGATCTAATTAAGAGTTAAACTAGAAGGAAATTCATTTAAAAGTAGGTTATACAGAGAATGCAGAATGCCTAAACTGTCTGTCAACCTATGCATTTATTCAGGGTCTCAGACAGATGGCTGGTGTGTCCCTTCTAGTCCTCAGACTTAGCTGTGTGACTTAGAACCTTTGACACTTTATTACAGTTTGCCTATCACATACACAGCAAACGTCTCCCTGGTTCTTGTGAAGCGTTATAGAGTAGCCAGCCCATCAAATGCCCGGTTCCGCACATTTGGTCTGTGTCCAATCTTTTGTTTTGTCTTTAAATCTATATCTGACCAGATTCTAAGTGGCCAGAAAAGAAAACAACTCACCCAGGGAAAAAAACCAAATCATCTGGCTGGGAGTTTTCCCTCACATTCTAGGAAGTCTTTGCTTTGCCACATTAACTTCTTCATGAAATACTCACAGGCTTGCTCATCTCCAATGCGGCTGTCTGGGAACCCTGGAGGAAAAAGCATTCCCCGTGCTCCATAAAAGGCTACTCTGAACTAACAGACACTTGCATGCTCGTGCAGTGCAAGCAATTGAAGAGCCCCTGATAGCTGGATGAGGAGTGAAAGTGGCTGGGGAAAAGCAGGTCATGTCAAGGGCAGACCTCTGCTTCTGAGGCTGACCCCCATGGGGATAGATTCCATTAGAGTGATCCTGGAAGACATCCTTCTAAGACAGGAAGAAAACAGAAGAGCAAGCACAAAAGGCAACACAGCTCATGATTTCATTTCAAAGCACTGCCCAGCATAGGTAAAGAGAATACAGATGGAAAAATGAATTATTGGCTACTGCGAACCATCGTGGGGAGCGATGACTGAGTGGATACAAGTGGTTTTTTTTTGGGGGGGGGAGGATGACCGTGCATGGAAGCTAGCCAATGCTGGCAGCACCAGCGCACCGTGTGTGTGTGTGTGTGTGTGTGTGTGTGTGTGTGTGTGTGTGTGTGTGTGTGTGAGCTGCTTCTGAGTTACACACCTCGCATTGTGTGTACTTTACTCCTGTCCTGGGTGTGCTGGCCAGAGGGACGTGCTAGTACTTCATAGAACTGGCAGACAGTTGCCAGCTTCACTCCTGTATCCTCAACTTCCGCCTCTGCACTGTCACCCCACCCCACCCCCACCCCACCCCCACCCCTGCATCCCCACCCCTGCACCCTCACCCCACCCCTGCACCCTCACCCCCACCCCTGCACCCTCACCCCCACCCCTGCACCCTCACCCCCACCCCTGCACCCTCACCCCCACCCCTGCACCCTCACCCCACCCCTGCACCCTCACCCCACCCCTGCACCCTCACCCCCACCCCTGCACCCTCACCCCCACCCCTGCACCCTCACCCCACCCCTGCACCCTCACCCCCACCCCTGCACCCTCACCCCTGCACTCTCACCCTCACCCCCAACCCTGCACCCTCACAACCACCCCTGCACCCTCACAACCACCCCTGCACTCTCACCCCCACCCCTGCACCCTCACCCCCACCCCTGCACCCTCACCCCCACCCCTGCACCCTCACCCCCACCCCTGCATCCTCACTCCTACGCCTTGCTTGGCTAATAATACTTGGCATGTGGGGCTCTTTCTGCTTCCTGTCTATGTATTATTCCTCAGCTCAGACAGTTAATGCCACAAAAGACAAAGAGGTCAGGTTAAACTTTCTGTGCTTCAAGCTGTAACAAACACTGACCAGATCCATAATCTAGGTAAAGTTAGATGACTTTGGTGTGCTGGCGCCATCTTGTAAAATTGAGTGTATTTTAAATGCCTATTAAAAGAAAAAAATCACTTTACGCAGACCCTGAACACACCGATGATGGTGCTGAGTGTACGAGAAGTCCTCAGCAACTGGCCTTGGGTTTTTAATTGGTGAGGCTCTGCTGGTTTGCTCTAGCTTCGTTTCTATTGCTGTGATAAAATGCCTTGATGGAAGGCAACTTAGGAACCAACCACAGTATGACTGGGAAAGCTACAGGGGCACAAGCTTCAGAAGTGGCGACCACACCTCCGAGAAAGAGTCCAGGGCAGACAGAATGCGCGCACGTGCACGAGCGCTTGCTCAGCTCGCTTTTTTCACTTCTGTACCATCTAGTCCACGAAATGGTGCTGCTTGCATTCACAGTGGCTCTTCCCGCCTCTAGTAACCAGATAAGAAAGGTCCCTCATAGACACGTCCCTGTAGACACCAACTGTAGGCACCCTCTGTGGACACCCCCACTGACCAGCCAGTCCTTTAGTGAGACTCTCCTCCCAACCATCATGACTGACTAGATGAGGGCTGTTATCTCAAAAGCCTCAGCAGAATCTGACTTCTTTCAGACTGTGACATTTACATATAGAGATGTCTGTCAACGCCAACAGGTGAGAGGGCCCAGGATTCATGGAACCATAGATCCTCGAGATACGATGGGTAGGGAATTCTGCCTAGGGAATCATGAGAAGACCTGTCCATGTCAGCACCAGTGTAGTTATTTTTCTGAGTACTTTCTCTCCTCCCCCACCCCACGCTGAGTACCAGGCTGGAGGTCTTACAAAGGCTCTCTGTGCCTGTGACATTCCCTAGCCCTTAGTATTTGAAAAGCACAGTTGGTTAAACCCATGGGTGCATAGACATTGATATAGAGGGCTGACTTTAGCCAGATACTGGCAGACCCAGCACCTATAAAACAGTGAATAGGATAGATAGTCATGGTAGAATCAGAGCTACTGACTACCGAAGTAGCAGCATTTATTAATCACATAGTGGACCAAGCATTGTTTCTGGGTGATTTTCCAGTATCAACCCATTTATTCCTCACAGGGACTGCATCAGCCCACACAAAGCCCTGCCCTCCTGCCTCAGTAAAGTGGACACTGAGGCCACTGCTACTGAAACAGGGTAAGAGCCGTAGGGCTAAGTGAAAGGGTGGGTCATTCGAAAGCCCAAGAGACTTGAAGGATTCTTGCCTTTGCAAGTTATGGGTAGACATGTTTGTTCATAAGAACACCAAATACAGGAATGATGATGCTGTCAACCAGCTAGGACGGTCTAACCAGCTAACCAAAACATCTGTTAGCTGGGAGCTCCTGATGTCCAGGAACCAAGTAACCCTCACATCTGTGCAGTAACATCACTGCTGTACCAAGAGCTCAGATCTCTGGAACCTCATCTCTGTTCTTCTCACACACCTCTTTCCTTCCAACCACACAGTCTATCCTGGTGTGTATTATTAACCTCTGAAGTGACTACAGGGTTTAAATAGCCAGGTCTCCTCCGGCAACCATATCCTTTCCACAAGGAGTCTTAAACATATATAGGTTAAATCAGAACAATGTGCCATATCAGAGTAAGGGGAGGGTTATAGAACTGTTTCATGGGGGCAGGGGTGTCTTCAGTGGGTAGGTATTTATAGAAGAACACTAGAATAAATACAAATACCTTCACACTTAAGATGCGTTGTGATTGACTTAACTTGGGAGGGGGTGGGGATAAAGAGCCTTCAACACAGATGCGCTCTGCTGAAAGTGGTGGCTTTCTTCTATCTGGCAAGGGCTGGTTGTGCTCTGTTTGGGGCACGAGCATTATGGCATCAAAGGATGTTGTCTCAGTCTGTGACTTGAAGGTTATGAGCTCGGGGAAGAGACAGTTAAAGCTTCCTCACGCCAGCGAGATGAGTTGTACCACACAGCGCCCATGCCAGGTCAGCAGTCTGGATGGAGCTGAGACACTTAGCAGCCGTGCCAAGCAGTGCCAGACACCTCTGGAAAGCCCTTGCCTAGGACCCCGAATTTAGATTCATGCCGCAGTCTGGGGAGTGTTTTGACGTCTGCCAGGCTACAAGGAAGAGCACACTGCACACTGCCTCTGAGACAGACAGAGCTCTCAAGGCTGGGAGTCTGAGGAAACCGGACCTGGGCAGGGCTGCTCAGGTGAGTCAGGGATGGGGGACTCAGATGCTGGCTGTCTGGCCCATGTCTCTACCATGTTTATGGGAACAGTTATTCTGCTGGGGCTGGCTGCTGCGATGCGGCAGATTGAATGCTGGAAGATTTCTTGTGTTTCCCTCATTCCTTTTTAAAAAGCAAGAACCGGGCTGAGCTTGCACTTGGGTCATAAAGTCCTCTCTAAAAGTCAGGAGGGTTATCTTGGAGGGGACCTAGCCAAGGAGGAATTATATTCCACACCCTCTGCTGAGTCCCAGCAGCCCAGAATATTATTAACATGTCCCCAGGGGGATTTCTTGAGAGGCTTCTAAAGGGACTGAGATGGTGGCCACGGAATATGCAGGGGTGGGGGTGGGGTGGCCCATTTCTAATTCGGAACTCATTCAGACCTACCAGGAAGCTTGTTGGTATTAGGGAAAAATATCTTGCAACCTGGTAGTGTCTGAATTCTTCACAGGAAAAGATGCTTCCTGATGCAGCAAGCTTGAGCTCTGGAGAGCATAGAATTATGCCCTGGTTTGTATTTGTAGGGTCTGACATTTGACACACATGAAAACGGACCACCATCATGAAACAGTTTTGGTCATAGCCCCAGCACAGTGGAGAAGCAGCTCAGAGCACCGCAGGAGACATAGAGCAGTGCTCAGGCTGGAGCAGCTGCAGGCTTAGGCAGGTACATCCATAGATGCCATTGTCCTGATGGCCTCAGCCCTGTGCTGGGGGGAGACTCCAGGGTCAGGGCTGAGGAATAGAAAGAGGACAGGATAAACCCTAAGATTTGGAAAGCCCTATCACCTGGTTAAATGGGTAAAATCAATGCAATCCTAATTAGGGATCCGTCTGCCAGGGTTCTGACCCATGGTGAGGGTCTGGAAAGACAATGCTGGTTCATAGGAAAATAGTCTTGTTTAAGTGTCCAGCAGGTTTAATCTCTCATGAGAGTTTGCTATTTAATCACACACCGAGTCCTTGCCTAACTTGAGGACCAGATGCAAGAGCCCTAGTATGCTGGTGGAGGTGGGTATGAGCTCCTGACCTCCTTTTTGATCTTGTCTTTGAGGTGACACGTCTGCTCCATTCATTAACAACATGCATGGCTTCCATTTTCCTGCTCTCATCCTCATCGTTCATTCATGAAGGCCATACACCTGTATCGCCTGCATTCATTGTCTAAGTTTAGCCACAATATCCAAAAGCCATTCCGGCTCGAGTCTCTGCTTCCTGGAAGCACCCAGTGTCATTGACTACACATGAGTTATATTGATCTGTAGTGGTGGGGGGGGGAGGCGAGGGGAGAAGTACAGCAGGTTGAGGCTGCACATCTACCTTTTTACTTATTAAATGCAGTGGGCCATAAAATAAAACAAAGACTTAAATATGGGAAAGGGACTTGAGGGGGAGGAGGGGGCAGCAGGGGTGGGTGAGACGCAATTCGAATGCATTTTATGCCGTGTTTGAAAATACTCAGAAACAAATTTAATTCACTAAAAACAAAATCAAAGGAAGTAAACACGTGCCAATTGTCACCTGCTTTGTGGAAGACTCTTCCCTCAGCATGAGGGAACTGTTGGGGGTGCTCATTTCCATGCAGGTGAAAGAAAATGGCACAGAGAAACAGAGGGGCATGAAAAGTACAGCAGGGCTAATGTTTCTGGAAGGCTGCTTAGACCACAAGGGAAAGTCTGTGATTGAAACTGTGGGAGTGAACAGGGTGCAGAATCCTGTAGGCAGATCTCTCAGAGTACACTGGAGGAGCAGAGGGAAAGCCAGGCCAATGGGGCAGCAGAAAGTCCAGGCACAGGCCAGGGAGAAGCTTGTGCTACAAAGTGGGTGGTGTGTTTTGTAGGTGTGTGTGTGTGTATGCAGGTGCGTGTGTCTGTGTGTGTGCACGCTGTGTTTCAGCTAGGGTACGGAAGTTCCTAACCCTTCAAGATCTCAGTTTCAGGAAGAATGGATGTAAGGGGGCTGACACGGCTACAGGGAGTCTGGCAAGGATGCTGGCAGAGATCTCAGCATCTCCTGTGAGGAAGGCGTTAGGGTAGAACGCCCTTTTGCTGAGGAGTCCACAGACCTGTGCATGCACTGGAAGGATGGGGCTGAAACAAAGCATGGTATTTGCACAGTGTTCTAGAATGCAGTGAATTACCAAGGAGTCACATGGTTTTCACACACGTGACATCACAGTGGCTGCTAGCCCTCCATATTCATGCCCTTCAGAAAGCAAAGTGGATGCTGTCAGGTTCTGAAGATCCAGCCCTTGCAAGAATTGTCCCTGTTTGATATGGCATAAATACTTCTTCATAAACTACTGATGTGTCATGTAAGGCTTGGGCATCCATTTCCTGGGATGGATCTGAGAGGACCAGGCTCCCACCTGATTCCATGTGGTGCTGACTGATGTGGCAGGTCTGAGAAGAACTTATACAGCCTGCCTGTCAGTGGTGAGGTATCCATTTCTGCAGCTACTGCTGAGCTGTAGTCTAGGCTAGCCCTGAAGCTTCCTGGCATCTCTCCTATATCCATCTGCCATCTTGCCAGAGCAGTGCTGGGATTACAGATGTCCCTTACCACATCGGGCTTTTAGTGTGAGTTCTGTGTATCGCATGGTGGCCCTCCAGTTCTCTGGGCTACCGAAAACTGCCTATCCTGCCCCTCTGCCTCCTTTGCCTCCTGTCTACATGGTCTCACCAGAACTGTGGTGTTCCTCAAAGCCGCCTCCCATTCCAACTGTGGCTTAATGGCCTGTAAACAAGCCACTAACAGCCCCAGGGGAGAAGGAGATGAGGCAAAGATGTCATATAAATAACACTCCACCTGTGTTAATGAGTCGGTGAAATTCATTTTTAAATTTCAAGGCCGGAAGAAAACCTCTTCTCAGGGGAGCCCCCAGTCTGGAGAAGAGGCTGGCTGAGAGGGAGGGCAGTACCCTGGGGGAAAGTCTTTGCTGAGGTTTGAAGCAACTTGATGTCCTGGGCTTGGGGAGTGGGATGCTGAACCTCTGATCTCCAAGCTCCCACCAATAGTCTAATCGGCAGGTGGGGTTCCCGAATAGTCCTAGCTCCTTACCCACCTCTCCCATGCCTCTCTGGGTCCTGCCTGGTTTTCTGCATGCTCCAGGAAGGTTCTGTGTTCCTCTCCAGGCTGTGAGCACACATAACCAACAGAGGTGTGCAGTCTATGCAGAGGACACCACCTCCCTCCTGCTGGTTTGAGATGGCTGTTCCCCCTCATCATCCCATCATCCCTAGCAGCTAGGTACACACTCTGCTCTCTCACTAGAGAACAGACCTCACACTTGGGCACTGGGCTTGGGGATGGGGCCAGTCACGCCTGATGTGGGATCTATATTCATTCACCTCTCTCTGGAATTCCTCCCTTCCCTCCTCCACCCGTCACTCAATACCAGTGACTGACAAAAGGTGAGAAATGAAAGAAGTGACAAAAGCCACATATGTCCAGAGAATAGACAAGAAGTGAACTGGCCTGGGGTTGCATCCATGAGCTAATAGTTTTAATAAAAATGGCCTGCAGCTGCATCCGTGGGACTCCCCAGCTGCTGGTGAGACTTGTGCCTGTTAGCTAGTGATGGGTAAGGAAGCAGGAAAAAGTGAGAGACCACTTTGTTTTAAAGAGACAGAATCTACATTCGGATTGGCCTCTTGCTGGCACTTTGATTCTAGAAGGCAGAATAGAGGTTTTTAGAAATAGTGGGAGTTGTGAAAGGATGATTTCTGGCTTCCATGCCATGGCAATTCTCATGTAATTTGAACAGTTTATAGACTAAAGTACTTAACAACCCAAAATGGAGAAAAATATAGGACATTTCATCTCACAATAAGATGCCAAAATGGAATGGAAGTTTCAAGAACAATAGCATTTATATATGTATTGCTTATTGTTTTTTCCACTTTTTTAATATTTAAATTCAAAACAAGTTTGCTTCACATGTCAAGCCCAGCTCCCTCTCCCTCCCCTCTGCCCCCCTAATCTCCCCAGCCCCTCACCCCACTCCTCTCGTTTCCCAGGGAGGGTGAGGCCCTCCATGGGGGATCTCCAAAGCCTGCCATATCATCCGGGGTAGGACCTAGGCCCTCACTCATGTGTCCAGGCTGAGAGAGTCCACGTGGAATGGGATCCCATTTTTACGCCAGGGATAAATGCTGATCTACTATCTGAGGCCCCATAGATTGCTGAGGCCTCCTCACTGATACCTACACTCAGGGGGTCTGGATCAGTCCCATGCTGGCCTCTCAGTCATCAGTCTGGGGTCCATGAGCTCCCCCTTGTTCAGATCATCTGTTTCTGTGGGTTTCACCAGCCCGGTCTTGACCCCTTTGCTCATCACTCCTCCCTCTCTGCAGCTTGGTTCCAAGAGTTCAGTTCAGTGTTTAGCTGTGGGAGTCTGCCTCTGCTTCCATCAGCCACTGGATGAAGGCTCTAGGATGACATATAAAGTAGTCATAAATCTCATTATCCATTATCAGGGAAGGGCATTTAAGGTAGCCTCTCTACTATTGCTTAGATTGCCAGTTGGTGTCGTCCTTGTAGATCTTTGAAAGTCTCCCTAGTGGCAGATCTCTCCCAAAACCTATAATGGCTCCCTCTATTATGGTACCTCTCATCCTGCTCTCCTCTATTCTTCCCCCGACTCAACCTTCCTGCTCCCCCATGTCTTCCTCTCCCCTCCTCTTCTCTGCCTCTCTTTCTCCCAGCTCCCTCTCCTCTCCCCTCTCCCCATGCTCCCAGTCTGCTCAGGAGATACTGTCCCATTCCCCTTCTCTGAGATACCATGTATATCTGTCTTACGATCCTCCCTGTTTTTCAGACTCTCTGACGATGGGATTGTAGGCTGCAATTCCCTGTTTCATGTCTAAAATCCATATATGAGTGAGTACACATTATGTTTGTCTTTTAGAGACTGGGTTACCTCACTCAGGATGGTGTCTTCTAGTGTCATCCATTTGCCTGCCAATTTCAAAATTCCC